CCTTTTTTCAGAGGAATTTGTAATAAGAAACTCGCAAAACTATTAATAAGGAAATGCTGCTTATTCATTTGGTACCAGAACAGGCCTTTTAAAATTAAGTTTGAAGTCATCTTTTTAAGAGTTGTCCAGTTTAACAACCATTTACAAAAGACAAAAATAAACTACATAACACACAGTCTTGAAATTTCAAGGCAGCTCCTTTAACATCTTGGCTAACTGCATTTTCTAACTGCAACCTTTATTGACAACCCTGCATTAAAGAATTATTCCACAGTTAAGTCTGCAACCCCTCCTGAAATACTCCAGGATACCAAAAAAAAAAAACAACAAGCAAACAAACATATTAGTGAAGTGAGTAAACAACCACATGCGTGACTTTCACGTAATCTAAAATTCGTGATTGCAGCATTCCCACGTGCGTAAAGTGCTTGTAACTTATGGGAAACACACGCATGTTACACCAAAAAAACCCGCGTGTAGCAGAAGAGGCCGATTACCCGCAATTTCTCGTAGTTTTGAATTTCCCTTTTGTTTTTCAGAACACCCATATACCTGTACTTTTTTACACCGATGCGATAGAAATTAATTGGAAAAGCATTCCTTGAAATAGGAAGTCGTCCTGTATTTTCAGCGAAAAAGATCGTCAAGTGATCAAAACAACACCGGCCAGATTATAGTCACGTGCTCGGCAACGACTTCTTGAAAGCGATCATCTTTCATTCTTACCATCAAAACAGTCACGTTTGCATAGAAGAATAACAAAACGAAACGATTACAACGGAAAGACCCAAATTGGCGTAGAAAGAAATAATGCTGCAAATTACCATTTTTTTTTCTGTGTCAACAGCTTGCTGTCACTCACAAAGTCTTCGTGATTCTCGCTGGTCCTCGTTATGTTTAGCGCATGGACGATTCGAAGACCCTTCAAATTTGGTTTTTAAGTTGATCATAGCACTAATCTGAAACATTTGAAGTCCATTTCAATTTAGTAAATGTCGAAACAGGCGTGTAAAGACAAAAAATATCGCAACGATCAGTGCAATCATAATAGCGCCAGGACTTTGGACTTACTTCTTCGGAAGGATAGATCTCGAGTTCGAAGCCGACTAATTACGACTAATTACGAAGAGTCCACGCTAATTTGCATATCGCAGAGCGCCCACAAGAACTCGTTTCTACGCTATCGTGTATCCACGAGTTAAACAGTAGTTGCAGAAATTTTTTCAATTTTTTTTCAATGACTGTTACGAAAATATTTACTGCTCCAAGTATTTCCAGTATTGCCGTATAAACAAATAAATAGCCTAAGCCACCAAGAGGTAATTTAATTGTTGGAGACGATTACCAAACGTTCAAAAACACGCCAAAAAGCTTCCAGGGAGGGAGGGAAAGGCATATTGCTTGATAAAAGTATAAGTTAATACCCCAGATCTCTCCTGTGAATCTGTATTTGTTCAAATAATTCCCGCACAAAAATTACTATTCAGGCTGTTGATTCCAGGCCTAATATCACCCCTGTAGTACAGTTGACTCACGGTGAGCGACAGGTTTCCTTCCGCTCAAAAACCCCTTGCAAACACTTTGTCAATGAAATCGCACACAAGTACGCATTGCGGACCTATTTTTAAGCTTAGGCTGCAATCGCGGGAGAATCTTTCACATTCAGGCTAATGAAAGCGTTACCTTTAGCTTCAGTAAGGTTGTATGTACAATCATGTGCCTCTGGTGGTAAATAGAAGACTTGTTCCAAGCTGTTTTTTGCCATGTAGAACTGTTTTTTAAGTCCCGTGTTGAACTGATGTTATTGATGAACGTTAAGACGCAAAATTTGTGAAATGGAACCGTTAGAGATTAGGAACAGTACTGACGAAACTGCCTTAGTAGCTATTGAAATGACTTCATGGGGGACGCTGAAGCTCTTGGTTTGAAAATTCATCAGGGCGAATAATATTGTCGCCACCTGTTTATTTCAGCAGTAGTTCTACTGTCCCAATAGATTCTAATAAAAACCTTGATCTGATTGGTCGAACACAGTATGACTCAAATATACCCTGTGGCGCGTTTTTCATCACTTGTTAATAAAAATGCAAACGCGGTTTTCGTTTACAACAACTTTCCATTGAAATCCTAGGTTGCATCGACTTTTTCATCTCTTTGATTCGTCCATAAAACTCCCACAACCAACTCAATCAATCAGATGTAAGCTACAGGTTATCGCAACTCGGTTGGGCTTCTCTTTAGTTGAGGCCAGAAGACTGAAAAAAAACTCTTCAAAGTAAATTCACAATCAATCACCCGTGCTAATTTCCCTTTCGAGAAAAGCTTATGCAATCTTCGGTAACCATGCCATGCTATGTTATGTTACGTCATTTGTTTGGTATGAAATACTCGTCACGCAATTTTTTTTAACGGATTCTCAAGCATAAATTTGAATGTTGAAATACATACCGTTGTTTTTTGGCATGGGTGTTTGCCGCTGTCTCAAAATATTGTTGAAGCAAAAATACGGCGGCAAAAAATATTCACCAAAGAGGCTTTCGAAGCGTGCGGCCTTTTGTAGCGATAAATTTGAGGCTTATTTGGCCGAGAAATTGCTAAGTCTTCGCTTTGTTGTGTTATTTGTGATGGGAAAGGGAATACATGAATGTAACACTAACGACCGTAACGAACGCGTAACGACCGCGACCAACACCTTTTGTCTTGAAGTGGCTGTTAAAAGAGAGAGTAATCACGGTTTCGCGCCGCTAAATTGTGACTTTGAAAAAAACAAGGCAGCTGTAGGTATGCTCTATAACGTTGTTCAGTTTTGAGTTTGGTTCAGAAGGCCAAGGTTGAAGATTGAGCTTCATTTCCGTTAACCTTAGTCTTAAATACTGGTTTTTTGATATTCAAAAAAATTGCAAAATGCTAGGCCTGCGAACAGTTTAATTATTAACTACAATTTTGAGTTCGAGCATTCGTGAATTTTCCTAAAAAATTAATTTCCCTCTCTTTTGTCTTTGTGATTTTCTCAGTCTCTCCTTCACTTTTAGGTGCTGTAAATAATGGATTGTTTAATACTTTCTAAAATTGCTTTGACAATAGCGTTTAAAGAGAAACTTTATCCACTTTTTGGGATGTTAACTAAGTAACTCGCATGAACTCGCATGAAATTCTTTTAAGAAAGTTTTGCTTGCAACGAGATCACGTGATTACGACGATTACGATGATTATCGTCATAATCGTGTCCATCATTCTTATCCTCGACACGGGATCGTCGCCGTGCTCATCTCTAGCGCGTAACGTAAATTGTATTGCGTCATATCAGTGAATAATTAATTATCTAGTTCATAGGAGGAGGTTTTAAACACCTACAATAGTTTCATCGCTTCCCAGTCTTTATAGGAGTCAGTGTCATTTGATTGTAGAGTCAAGTCAGGAGAGCTGGTTATTAATTGCCAAACAGACCTACATCTGAATAGGCATAATTCCGCTTGTATTATTTTTAATTTTTCTATTATCTCTATGTTTCCATTATTACCTGTAAAGATGTAGTCTCGGTACAAGATGATCTCGAAGGTTTGACAAAGATTCAAATTTGATTTCGATGACCCTTATCAAAAGTGATGGCAAGGAATTGTTTGTTTGTCTATCTTGATTTTAGCCACCTGAAACACCTCTGCAGTAGCGTTACAGCAGGGATTAGCAGAGATTGGACCTAAACAGCTCGTCGGCAATGAGTGAAAGAACGCGCCCTTGGCGGAGAAGACACTCTTTCATTGATAGTTCATTGAAATACATAACAAAGAAGATTCATCTAAATGGCTCATAAAGGAATAGTTAAGTAGGGAAACCGTCTTTTAGTTGCAGCTTGATAACAAGCTCCAAATTTTAACCCAGTCAAGAGGAACAAACATCAGTAACAACATGCTGACAGATGAAGAATCTATGGAGACGAGGTTGAAACAATTGGTCATGTAGTGAGCACTTGCAAGGGCTTGCGCCAAAAGATTTCAGGAAACAGCATGAAAAGGGTTGCTGGACTGGCCATAAGAAATAGTGTCTTACAAGGCTTCTCTATTAACACTGGTTCAGTACCTTCAGGAATCAGATAGGGTGTTGCAGTACTAGTGTGCAAATTTTCGTTGGGAACTTACCACGTAGGGCTGCTTGGGAAGTTAAGTACACTTGACAAGACAAGGCAGATTGATGCGTCGTTAATGATGTTGTGGTACACGAAGATAGTAGAATACAGAGAATTACTTAAAAAGCTGCTGACCTCAGGATGGTGATTGAAAACATGCAGAGGAATAAACTGAAGTCATCCCATTTGTTACAGGAATTCTTGGGTAAATTACTTATTTTATCTTGGGTCATTATAAAGTGAAGTACAGCATTGGAATTCCTTAGATGTCTGCTCGAAGCTTCAAATATCTTGCGGAAGGTTCTGTCTACTGCTACTGTTAATGCTACATCTGCTGCAGTCGCTGCAAATGATTCAAGATGAACTCTATAACTACTAATAATATCGTTCTTATTGATTTGTGTCTCATTAAAACAGAGCGCACAGCTCCTGTTTAAAGGTTATGGGAGACTAAGAGACTCATAATTCATCATCATCATTATCATCATCATCATCATGTTGTTATTGTCATCATGATTATTATTCATAATAATCATAATCTTAAGTTGTCCCGATTGGGGAAATCGTTGCTTTCTTTTATTGATCAGTTTTTCGATATTTCAATTAGAATGACGATAAAAATAACTGACTGCATTCGCGCACGATGTCCGCGCGATGAAGCCCTTTCAATACCACCACAAATGTCAAACCTAACGTAACTGACCAGTACGTTTAATGAACATCTTATTCTCAAAATACATTGAAAAACGTTATACGGCTTCATTCAGTTAAATTGCAGTCAATAAATCGTTGCTGCAAACAGCCAAAAGGCTCAATCAGTATCAAGTAATCATGCCCTCTTGATTACCAAATGTGCCCTCGTGATTAAGAAAAAATGCCCTCTGTCTCGGCCAATCAGCTTTCAATAAATTTTTCCCGCATGTGATAATAGTGGTTACGCTGCATTTAGTCAAATGTAGGAAAGAAATCCTTTTAAATTTGATGAAGTAAGAAAGAAATGAACTTTTCGATACTCTTTAAAGGGATCGAAGTTAAGACCCAAATTAAATGTTAATTTAATTTAACATTTTCTGAGAACTTTGATTGTGGTGAACAATTTCTTGAATAAGCTTAAGTGAAGTCCAAGGGATCATTCGATCCCGGTCCGTTTCGCACATTTAGAGGTCGTCCTGCATTTAGGCTTTAAAAGCTGAGAGGAATGAACCATTCCAAGACACAATCACCAAATTGTCATTTCAGCAAAGATTACTTGGGGTTGTCCTTGCAACAACCCAATTGGTAATAACGACGGTGTATCGATATAGAAAGTGCGGAATACTGCTTTTATAAATTGAACTAAAAATCTTTCAATTTTGTATGGATTTACTTGTGAAACAAACGATAGATTTTAAAGGGAACTGATGCTATCTTATTTATTTTAAAAATCTACTTTAAGCTCAAGCTTGAATGTTTCTTTAAGGTGTCTGATGTCTGCAAAATGAAACAAAAGATTGGAAAGCATTAAGATAAGACCATATGTGAAGACGATACTTTTTTTGTTGTAGTTGGATCACCTTCCCCTCCTGCACGATAGTTTAGGAGGAATAATTACTTCCCTCTCTCCTTTTCCAGATGGCCTGCAAGCCATGGGAAAAGCCTCCCTGTGATTCTGACCACCAACCTATTTCAACATTGTAAGGCTTAACCCTTTAACTCCCAAGATCTGATTGGTAATTCTCCCCTCTGGCTGCCACACATATCCTGTAAACTAGTTATGAGAATTTGGTGTTAGATCAAGATAACAACCTCTAACTGATACGTTTGAAGATTCTTATTAGCTGTGTGCTGGATAATGTAAGGATATGATAGGGAGAACTTTCATGTTCATCACTTCTGGGAGTTAAAGGGTTAATAAGAAACAGCTCAGTGCACTTCATTTAAAAATGGCTGAATTGGCACTTTGATCGAAAATTCCTTTCTATGGTTGATTAATTGGGGTACAAAACTGTTTCTGAATTTCGTTTCTGAACCTTACTCTAGGGATTAGGAGAGGCAGCCAATTATCAAATGTGTCACTTTCTGTTTTCATACCATTGGATATGATCTCTTATTGCTTTGTTTTCCTTCTCGACTTGCAACCATCTTTTTACGTCTCTGAAGAAATCAAAACAGCAAGATAATGAGCAAACATAATGTTTTTACAATAGTTCTGTCCAGTGCTGTTAACGTATTTTTACAGTTTTTTGTTGTTGCAATTTGGTTTTTGAGGTAAGTGAGATTTAAGACTTCAATACATTGATGAAATTACTTACTCAGACCTCTGGCTGGACTGTGCACTATTCTGCATGAAATAAAAATATGTATTTGTAAGTGGTTAATTTTTCCAGAATCATGGCTCATGCATAAAATAATTTCAATAATCTTTTTCTGTGAAATCTTCCAGCAGCGACGTTGTACTTCGAAATGATCCATAGTGCAAAAACTCTAAACTGACCTTATACATCGTGTTTACTTTCACAATTATATCAAAACTGAAAATGGTGAATTAAGATACAGAAAAGTCTTTTCGGTGTTGACTCATTTTTTTATGGACATCACTCACCTGTTGCTCGGAAACATCAATTGGAATTCCATCTAGGTCTGTTACCATGAAAACCCTGAAAAGAAATCAAATTGTCATCATCGACATCTTTCGCGAAATTAGATACAAATGAAAGAAGGAGGTCTTTAACCTCCTTTTTTTCTCAAATAAGGAAACATCAATATTGTGTGGCTAAAAAAGGCGGAAATGGATGACAAAGTACAAAAATTTGGCGGCTGGAGTGCCGGGCAAACTGGACAAGACGGGGGGATGGGGGTGCACTCCATGGATGGCGAGAAAGGAGTTATTGGGTGATTGAGACCAGTGTGATATTCCTGACAAAACGTTTACACAATTGCTTTTCTTATTTAAGAACTAAACGAAGCGATCAGAATTAACACACGGGTATTTAGATGGCGAAGTTCCTTGTTATTAAATGATTTCCAGGATTCTTACCTGATATCATGTGGTGTTATCTTAAGGTCAGTTCAAGTGAATGGTTCAGCAATCCATATACAACCGGGAGTTGTTAAAAACATTTTATGTAGACCTTATCAATATCGTTGTGAGTCTTTGATTGTTAGAATCATTTTCAGTGACTTATTTTTTGCGAATGAAGACCACAGCTAAGGTTCCTTAAAAATCCACCCAGTTCCCCTCCTCTTCAATTCACATAAAATATGAATTGGACCCCTTAATAGAGATAAGGAGAGGCAGTCAAGTATCAAATGTGTTAATTCCTGTTTCAGACCATTGGATACGATATCCTATTGCCATGTTTTCCGCCATGACTTGCAACCTTCTGTTAATGTTTGTGAAAAATGCACAATAGGAAGACGTTTAACAAAAGCAAATTTTGCACTAATTAAAGTTCTGTTCAGTAGTGATTCTGTTGTTGTATCAGTACATATTCGGTATCCTCTTTCTGGTACGTGACAAATACAATGTTATTACTTACTCTGATCGCTGTCTGGATGCTGTATCATCCTGCAAATGAATAAAATGCTTCTGTAAGTGGATAGCTTCTGGAGTCATTGCATACAGAATGATATATGAAATCAACTTCTATGTAATCTTACGTCGATGATATAGTGTAAGTCTCTCTCGCCACTTTTTAGGAGTATATATCTGGAAAAACCTTAACAGGGAAAATACCTTGACCTTACAGAACGTGCCCACTTTCTCCGTAATTTTATATAATTTTCTTATTATAATTGAGTATAAACTTGTGAAGGTATCAAAAAAAGACGATTCAACAGAGAATTCTTACCCTTGACGGGATGAATGGCTGCAACATAGATTTATTAATATTGAAATATTTAGTGTTTGTTTTCAAACGTATGTTTCACTGGTTATAGTCTAGGGAGAAAAGCTGAGGTTAAAAGTATAAGGTGCACTAAATGAGTCAGTTGGTCAATTATGTTTCTTAGCTTTTCATGAAAAGTGCCAGCTTAGTCATACATAGTTTTTATTGCACAGTTGAACTTTAATTTACAATCATAGGTGAGGTTGATTCATGAGCATGGAAAGGTAGGGTCAGATGCACTAAAACTTGAGCACTGCTCTTTTTAGGGACCCATATTTATAATGGAATCAGAACAGTGTTTGTGTATATCTTACTATAAATCAAGTAATTTGATACCTGTGTCACAACTCCGCTAATTATGACCTCCATCTCTCTCTCTAACAAACGTCTTGCACTGTAAAAAATGAAAATTGACTCTTACAGACCTCAGTGATTCAGATCTTTGAATACTGCTATCAAAACGCCAGATTTTGGCTCTAATATTCTTTTGAAACTCAAATATAAGATGGAGACAGCACTAAGAAAACTCTGAGGTATCCTTGCGACTGCACTGGAACTCTTTTTAGATCAAACGGAATGTTTGTAATTGAGATTTCGAAAGGAGGCATATTCACTGTTTCAATACCTTGAGGGACGAGTCCATTGATCTAATTGTAGTCTCGATTGTGAGATGTATGTGGCTAAACATAGTCTTAAACGAATGCAGCGAACGAATTGCTAAAACATCTCACCCTACACATGTTCTTGTAAGAAAGTTTTGCTTTCAAGCCTCATAATTTGTTCGAGTGCTAGTGACGCTTTAGAGAGATGAAGTGGACTAAGATGGGGAATCTGCGGTGGATTTTCCAAAGTTTTGAACCCAAAACAGACTTTAAAATGGTCTTTGTAGCATTGCAAAAGTTTTCATGTTTGTCAGCCTTTTTCCTGTCGCTGATATAACTTGAGTTTCTTTGAAAACGAGTCGCATCTTATGTGGGATATGTGGAATTACAAATCTAGCCCCTCGACAAGGGTCGGCGAGGTACAATGATTCAAACCTCTCCTAAAATGCGTCGAATTTTATTCTGATGAATTGAAGAAATAAAGATTAATTTCAAGCTCAATTTATTGAAACTTAAAGGCTCGAGGTCGGCTTCAGTGGAATCGAGAATCAAGGCAGGAAATTGGTAAATGGAACATGCATTTTATACAGTACTTCTGCAGTCCAATAATGTCATACTGACTTACCTTGACCTGGAAGCCATACTCAAGCATGCAGCAATGTCCAAGGCGTTTTCTGCCTTAGTGGCCGCGTCTGCCAGGGTGCTTGGAACGAAATTTTTTGCGAACCTCAAAGAGCCATGAAATTGAACGTTGAAATAAAAAGTTAAAAAAAAAAACCTTGAAAAGTCGAGGTCACGAGAAAATTTTTAGCTGCATATTCAATGTAGCTCCGAATTGTCGTACCAACCCAGTGAAAATGCCGTCGACACCGCGCACGGTTCACCCTCTTTCCTTGTGGTTTCTGTCAAATGTGTTAATTAGTCGTCATCTTCGTTTGATGATTAGACTTGCCATGGCTGTGTTGTTCAAATGGAATGCGCTCCAGTCGATTCTTCTGACATTCTTAATAATAAAGATAAAGCAGATTAGTTTTTAAGCATAGGCTACAATCGGGGGAGAATCTTTCACATTCAAGCAAATGAAAGTGTTACCTTCTACTTCAATACGTTTGAGTGATGATGACAAAGAAGAACAAACCACTCGCCAAAGCTTTCCGAACTCATTGAGATGAGCTCTTTCTTTCCGTGTCGCTCGTGTCTACCATCATGTGCCTCTGGTGGTAAATAGAAGGCTTGTTCCAAGCCGTGTTTTGCCATAGAAACCCGTTTTTTAAGTCTCATGTTGAATTGATGTTGATGATGTACGTTAAGACGCAAAATTTGTGAATAGGAAAGCTTAAGAGAGTACGAATAATACTAACAAAACTGCCTAATAAGCTGACGAAATCGCTCCATGCGGGATGCTGATAATTTTCTGGTTGAAATTCTTAAAAACGAATGATCACCACCTGTTTATTTCAGCGGTAGTTCTTCTATTCCAATAGATTCCAAAAAAAACCTCGATCTGATTGGTCGAACACAGTATGACTCAATACATCCTGTGGCGTGTTTTTTTCACGTGTTAATAAACATGCAAATGCGGTTTCCTTTACAACAACTTTCTATTGAAATCCTAAATTGCATCGATTTTTTCATCTCTTCGATTGGTCCATAAACTTCCACACCCACCTCAATCAATCAGATGTCAGCTACAGGTTATCGCAACTCGGTTGGGCTTCCCTATAGTTGAAGCCAGAAAACTCTGAAAAACACTCTTTAAAGTGAATTCACAATCAATCGCCCTTGCTAATTTCCCTTTCGAGAGAAGCGTATGCAATCATTGGTAACCATGCCTTGCTATGCTACATCACTCGTTTGGACGAAATACTCGTCACGCAATTGTTTTGAGTTCTCGAGCATAAATTTGAATGTTGAGATAGATACCGTTGTTTTTTGCATGGATGTTTGGCGCTGTCTCAAAATATTACTGAAGCAAAAATATGGCGGCAAAAAATATCCCTCATAAAGGCTTTCGAAGCGTGCCTTTCCAGCAATAAATTTCAGGCTTATTTGGCCGAGACATTGCGAAGTCTTTGCTTTGTTATGTTATTTGTGATGGGAAAGGGAATACATGAATGTAACACTAAAAGAAACAATATATATATGCCATCCAACTTATTTTCCTTTCTACATGTAACGACTGCGACCAACACCTTTTGTGTTAAAAGAGAGTGTAATCACGGTTTCGCGCCGCTAAATTGTGACTTTGAAAAAAATAAGGCAGCCGTAGGTGTGTTTTATAACGTTGTTCAGTTTTGAGTTTTGCTCAGAAGGCTAAGATTGAAGATTGAGCTTCATTTCCGTTAATATTCGTCTTAAATATTGTTTTTTTGATATACAATCAAGAGCAAAATGTGAGTCCTGCGAACGGTTTTACTAACTACCGTTTTGAGTTCGAGTATTCACGAATTGTCCTGAAAAATTAATTTTCCTTTTTTCTTCTTAGTCATTTTCTTAGTCTCTCCTTCGCTTTTGGTTTCTTCAAAAAAATAAATACAATTTTGAGTTCGAGCATTCGTGAATTTTCCTAAAAAATTTATTTCCTTTTTTTTTCTTTGTTATTTCTTAGTCTCTCCGTCAATTTTGGGTGCTTCAAATAATGGATTGTTTGATACTTTCTTAAATTGCGTTGACAATAGCGTTTAAAGATAATCTCTATCCATTTTTTGGGATGTTAACAAAGTAACTCTTATGAATTCGCGTGAAATTGTATTAAGAAGGTTTTGCTTGCATCGAGATCACGTGATTACGACGATGACGATAATAATCGTTATGATCGTAACCATCATTCTTGTCCTCGACACAAGATCGTCGCCATGCTCATCTCTAGCGCTTCAGTAGGAGCGTTAAGTCCTAATGGGTAAGTATTCTACCGGCCTCAAGAGTCTATTTTCTCAGCGAATTAAGTTCAACGTAAATGGTATTGTGTCATATCAGCGAATAATTAATTGCCTTGGTTCACAGTAGGTCCCACAATAGTTTCATCGCTTTCCAATCTTTATCGGAGTAAGTGTCACTTAATTCTAAAGTCAAGTCAGGAAAGCTGGTTATTAATCGCCAAACAGACCTCCATCTGAATAGGCATGATTCCGCTAGTATTAATTTTATTTTTCTATTTTCTCTATGTTTTTATTATTATTTGTAAAGATGCAGTCTCGGTACAAGATGACCTCGAAGGTTTGACACAAATTCAAATTTGAATTCAATGATCCATATCAAAGGTGATGGCAAGGAATTGTTTGTTTGTCTCTCTAGATGTTAGCCACCCAAAACACCTCTGCAGTAGCGTTGCAGCAGAGGTTGGTAGAGATTGAAGCTAAACAGCTTGTTGACAGTGAATGGATGAATGCGCCCATGGTGGAGAAGACACTTCTTCATTGATAGTTTATTGAATAACATAACACAGGTCGAAGATTCATCTAAATGGCTCATAAAGGAATAATTCAGTAGGGAAACCGTCCTTTAGTTGCAGCTTGATAACAAGCTCCAAATTTTAACCCAGTCAAGAGGACCAAACATCAGTAACAACTTGCTGACAGATGAAGAATCTATGGAGACAAGGTTGAAACAATTGGTCATTTAGTGAGCACTTGCTAGGGCATGCGCCAAAAGATTTCAGGAAACAACATGAAAAGGGTTGCTGGGCTGGCCATGGGATTTCTTTATTAACACCGGTTCAGTACCTTCAGCAATCAGTCAGGGTGTTGCACTACTAATGTGCAAATTATCGTTGGGAACTAATCATGCAGGGCTGCTTGAGAAGTTAAGCACACTTGGCGAGATAGGGCAGATTTAAGCGTCGTTAGTGATGTTGTGGTACACGAAGATGATAGAATTCAGAGAATTATTTTAAAAGCTGCTGACCTCAGAATGGAGATTGAAAACACGCAGAGGAATAAACCGAAGCTTTAAATGTCTTGCGGAAGGTGCTGTCTACTGCTACCGTTAATGCTACCTCTGCCGCAGTCGTTGCAAATGATTCAAGATGAACTCTATTACTACTAATAATGGCATTCTTTTTTATTTGTCTCATTAAAGCAGAGTGCACAGCTTCTACTTAAAGGTTATGTAAGACGGAGACTCATAATTCATCATCATCATCATTATCATCACCATGTTGTTATTGTTGTTAATTCCGATTTCGGAATTCATTGCTTTTTGTTTTTGATCAGTTTTTTGATATCTTAATTAAAATGACGATAAAGCTAACCGATGGCGTTGTACTTCAGTCCTTGGCGTAAATGTTTGTTTATGGTGTACTTTTCTCAATATTCTGTTCTAGCCTTGCAAATTAAAGAAGAGAATCCTCAATGTGTAATGAAAGCATTGTGACTAGATCATAAGTTGATTGTTTGGGAATTTGATTGATAGCAGGAGAGGGTAGACAGAAATAAACAAACGGAACGAACTGATGATGAAAACAAGCAAGCATTGTAACATTCTGTGCAGAGTACATGTCAACACTTATGATGTTAATAGGGTTGGCAAATATCTAATACTGATAAGCCACTGAAAGGGCAACCACCTGAAATCACAATTAACCGCTGGTGTCTATTCCTCATTATTTACCTATTTTTTTTGTTGATGTAATCGTATGGGCCCTAGGGCAATTAAGGATTAATTTCACTTGAATTTTCAAAATTTCCCCAAAATTGCCCTCGTCGCTTCGCAGCCAGGGCAATTTCGGGAAAGCTTTGAAAATACAAGTGAAAATAATCCTTAATTGCC